CTAATGCTGGCTTTTCATTCCCTGATTTGATATAATGGAGCCCTTGCATTGCACTTTTTGCAGCGTACTACAAGGCTGAACAAATATTCCTTTTAATTTTGGTATAGATTGTTGGACAAAACCATACTAAAACTTTGAAGCATTTCAATTTTTTTAATAAAGTGGATTAAATGATCCCATTGATTTAAGTAATACAAATTAAATATGATCCAAAAGAAATGCAATAAAGTATGCTATCTCAAGACAGTGCAATATTAAAAATCTTTATACTAAGTGATTTGACATTTTCTCAGTCTCCCAGTCTGCAAAAGTATCTGTAAAATAATCAAAGCATCAAAGGTGTTCATTAAGATTTCAGTGAAGAACTTCTGATTCTAAGGATTTCTGTTGATGGTAATAATTTTAATACATTGTCATTGATAAGTGCTACTTAATAAAGCATCACTACTTTTCTCAACAGACTTTGCTGATGGAGGTCTTTTTTCTGCAAAATTTAACATACTGTCATAAAAGTGAAAATGATGTTCATAAGTCCAAAAGATTCTTTTGCTTTCCATCACAGTGCAGCTGTCATGGGACATTTCACTATATGACCACTATTATCTGAAAATATTTTTAAAGAATTTTTAAGAAAAATGTAACAAGATTATATAACATTGGTATTATATTTTGGTATGGAGAATAGCTTTCAGTGTAATGAAGAATTCTGGTGCAAGTACTAAAGGTACATGATACTGTTTTGTGTGTGTGGAACCTGTTCTGAGCCTTCCTACAATGCAGCTCACAATGTCAAAAGACAATATTTGGCATTCCACACTGTTATCAGGAAGCTCTAGATAGTTTATTGCACATTGATTGTATTGATTACAGCTGGAGGCATTGATAGCATAAATAGAGTGGTTTTAATTAGTCAGAATGTGTGATTAGCTTTTCTGTTTTAATGAGATAAACTATTTTCTTTAATAAAAAAAATATATTCTTTATTCACTCAGAATAAAACCACAATAAGCAGGAACACAGACCACAGTCTGTGTTTCTCAGAAACTGCCAGTTGCCTCCATACTTTTGTCAAAGTCTAACACATTTTTTCAGGATGCTTTTTTAAAATTCATTGAAGCCCTCTGTCCCATACATACACACACACACATGCTTTAGTTTCTTCCTAAAAACAACTTCAGATTTTACTGTGGAAAGTTTGGTGTGACTGATCTGCTGCAGCATCTCTCAGAATTCCTGCTGTAAACCCACTCCTCAGAAGTTTATCCATCAACTGCCACCACTTTAGTGTCTTTTAACCAGGAAGATTTCAGGACTCACGAGATTTTTTTAAAATTTCTCCTCAAGATTTTAGGAGATTAATTTAGACTTTGCTAAATAACTTACAGATGTAGTAAATCAGTTTTTAATACATATTATGTCAAATGTTTTACCCTTGAAAGTAATACTAAGTCAACAATGAAAGCCTAATGCTGAAATGTTTTGATTACGTATCTTGGTGGGAGGGGGTTGAATAGCAAAGGTATTTGTTTTTCTTGGACATTGAGAGAAAAAACTTTAACTGAGTCAAGTCTGTCTTAAAAGGAAATATTAAACTTTCCAGCACATCTCTGTTGCTTCTGTCATTGATAAAAACTTCTTTCCCTCCTTCTAGAACCATCAAAATCATTAGGTCTTATATCTCCTAGAAAAAGTAGTTATTCATCTACTGCATCAGATACATCAAAATAAATACGAATATGAAACAACACCTTTATATAATATTTGACTCCAATAAATTAAGGACAAAATCAAAGATAAAATCACCCAGCTACTCAAAAATCATCCCATCTCTGATTTCTCAGACTTAATATTTCATGCAGGTCTTACAGATATGAGACTTCAAACTAAAATTCGTCCATTTCCTGAGTAATAAAACCTATATCAATATAGCACAGATACGGATCTAACAACATGTCATTACTTCGTTCCCTCATTGTTTTCTAAATGAATTACCTCTTTTCCATTGGAGGCAATTACCTTACTATGTTTCTTTCCTTCTTGCTAACATTCTCTCTACTTCACAGGTACTATTTTCTTTAAGAATTCTCTGATACATGTTTGTCATGGAAATGAATCTTTAAATGCTTCTGGCTTATGCCAGACTGGTAGAACTGTGTGTGCACTCTAAAGCTTTTATATTTTGTAACTGTGTTTGTTGGTCTAAGATAATTCTCTTTAGAGGTGAGCACTGTCTTTGTCTCTCCTTGCACTTTTGTTTCAGCAGTTTGTCCCAGCAGAAATATTCTAGTTCTTCTCTGGTACTCAAACATTGCTGCCTTTTGCAAATGCTGTAGTGAATGTGGAAGGAAAGGGAGCTTGGGAGGCAGAGGTGTGGATTAGCACTCAGTACTTCCTTACCACACCTAAATTTGATGGAGTTTCTCGGAGAGATCATCTTTTCCTTTGCTGGTTTTGTGTTTCAGTGCAATTGTAGAGAATCAGGTTCGTGCTGCTGCTTTGTGCTGTCAGCCCACATCCTCTGTGGATGGCCAGATTCTCATGATTATGGTGGCTGATCTTCAGGTAGATCAAACCACACATGCAAAGGACAGGAATGAAAAATATATTCTACCATGCTACCAGGTATCAGCTTGCATTTAACTGTTATTCCTAAAAACTTCAGAAGCTTTGGTGTAGACAAAGAGCCTTTGGCTGCATTCAGGGGACACAGATAAGGTGACAATGACAGACAGCTAATAATGAGAAGTGTAGGCAAGCACATGGCTGTGTGGATTGGTTGTGCCAACTCCCAGTGGCCTTAGCAGAACAGCAGAAGAGAAGGACTGGCTGTGAAGTTGGCCATATATGTGAAAATAATATGATGCTGTTAGAACATTTTAAAGTATGTTTTTTGCATTTTGACATGATAGAAAATTCAATATCTCTTCCTTTAAATCTGCCATACTACTTGCTGGATTTCTACACCAACAGTTCTGTTTCCTGAGGCGGAAAATTAGGTTTTTTCCGTTTTGACTGCAAACAGATAGGTAGTTGTCCCCAAATTCAACCCAGATTATGCACACATGCCAACAGGAGATGATGTAGAATCAATAACAAGTCCAGAAGTAGCAGAAAAACTAAAAAATAAAAAAAGCAGTCAGCATATTTTAGCAATTGTACCAGATGACTGAGCCTTGCCAAATTTCTTTGACAGAAGTAACTTGTACATGAGATCGTGAAGGCTTTTCAGAAAATGGAAGTGTATTGCCTATTTCTTTGGTGTCGGACAATCAAGTTGAGACAATTACAGTCTGGAATGTAAAGAAATCTGCCAAGTTTTGGGAAAATGTATCCCTTTTACACAAAGCCATGGATGTTGAAGGATGTTGAAGTTACTTTTACAGCTCTGGCTAATCTCCCCAGCCTGTAGCACAAGTTCACATGCATAATGCTTTTATGCCAGCTGTTGGAACAGCCAGACATAAGTTGAATCAATCCCAAACCAAGTTTAGTTTACTCTTTGAGGCTGCACTGCTCCCATCGGCATAAAGCAAACATATGGGAATTTATCCCCTTCCATACCTCTTGCCTTGCAGTGAAATAAGTTGGTCAAAAATGTTGGATCTGGTTCTGTCAAAATGAGGTGATTCATTGAGGTCCCTCGAATTCTGTCTTCAAGTGGTGACTTGCAGGTTTTCAGTCTAGTTAATGATGGTATGGATGCTTTAATGTGTTACAGCTTTTTACTACTGGAGAGGAGAGATCAGAACTTCAGGAAACATCAGCTATGCACAGTGTGCGGAGATCAATTTCAGATGTGAAAAGAATTACTTTGTTCAGGTGGTCAGCTGAACAAAGAATGTCTTTGTGACATGGATGTGTCCATCCAGGGCTATCTTTATCTGATAGATAGTATAATATGAGTGACTTTGTCACTGCACTGCAGTTTGCAATAAAAACCTGTGACAACAATAATAAAAACAGCTGTTCTGTTTTCCTTTCTCTGACCTGTAACAACCAAAGACAGTGTTTCATAAAGTGGAGTATGTGAAAGGAATATTGACCTTTGCATGAATGGATAATAGCATGAAAATAGTTTTTAGAAATTATGACACTAGTGTTCAGGAGAGACATAATTTGTCCACGAATAGAAGAAAGTGCTCTCTCCTCTATGATGAAGATCCCATCAAAATATTTTTCTTTACAGAAATAAAATAGATGACACTTATGATAAGAGTCCTCTATATTGTCTTGCCAGTAGGTAGAATCATGTTATGTTCAGTAACAAAGTTCTATCTATACATACAAGATTTTATAACAATAGGAAATGGATGTAAATAATTATTTATTATGTATTTGCCTAAGAATGTTTTTTCCCCCATATCGACAGCAACATTCAGACTCAATCAAATATTTCCTCTTTAGAAAACTGTTAGTGGCATCCATTTCCTGTCTAAGCTCAGCTCTAACTCACCACCCATCCAGACAGGGAATGTTACACCACATTCTGTGTCACCCTATTGCAGGCAAGCACTGCCAAGTCAGTGGTAACCAAACCAAACACATTGTGTGATTGTCTTTGAGCCCCTTTCTGTAGAGGGGGTAAAGATTTTTAATCAAATTGACTCCCACAGGTTGTTCATTCCATTTATGGGTCCTGTAGGCTTTCAAAGGATAACTTTGTAATGGATCACACTTTGTAATGGATCACACCTCCTGTGTACCCTGTGCTGAGCGAGCCACAGCAGCTGAAATCTGAAAAGCAAACCTGACTTAAACCACAGATTTTAATGTGAACAGAACAGGTGAAAAGGCTAAAGAAGGAAGAAAGTCTTAACATTTAATAATTATATTAACTGTAAAGTTTATTTTTATAATAATAAAATCCAGCTTGGTTTTGTTTCAGAATAATTGATGACCTGAGATTTCTTTTGATTTTTTTTAAATAATCAAAATAATTAGAAAAAAATAGGAACACAAACTGTGTTTTTATAAATGATATTTTGATTTCTATTTTTCAGGGACTGGTTAAATATGTTCAGTCCCCCGATCATTCCTGGAAACAAACAACTAGAAGAGAATGCTAAATCTTCAACAGGGAACTCCAGGTAAGAATTTATGAAGACAATGAAAAGAACCTGGGTAGAAAGACACTTCTAAATGTTCTTTCTGCAGTGCTGGTACTGCCTTCTCATAGTTTTCTATCCTACTGCTTTTTGGTTTCAAGTTCCCTTGTTTATTAATCTCAGCTCAAGGTAGCAGAGTTTTCCATGGAATATTATTTGCCTTTGCTAGAAGAATAACATGCAGTTGCTGTTTCCTGATGTTCTGGCTCTATACAGATTAACTCATAAAAAATCCATCTTTTTTTAACAAAAAAAAGGAATTTATGCTAATGGGGATGGCAAACCTATGTAAGAAAGAACACTAAGACTAAACATTCTTATTCAGAGGCATGATTATACTTGCATAAGAGATACTTCTCTTATGAAGAAAAATTGCAGATTTAGGTTTAAATGAAATTTTAGCATGATTTCCTGAGGACTATTGTCACCAGAGTTACAGGCTTTTGCTTATTAATGGTGTTTGCTTAGAGAATGTTAAAGACCTTAACTGAAACTGGAAAGTCAACAATAGAATAAAGAAAATACCTTGTTTTCCTCAAATGCCCTTTTTCTTGTCAGTTATCTTGGGAAATAGGGTAGAAGAATCATCATCATAGAGTATCATAAAATGGTTTGGGCTGAAAGGGACCTTGGAGTCCAGTTCCAACCTCCCTGCCATGGACAGGGACACCTTCCCCTCAAAGAGGCTGCTCAAGGCCACATCCAACCTGGCCTTGGACACTTCCAGGATAGACATTTACATTTTTCTTCAGGTCTCAGGAATTCACTGGAAGCTCTCATAAATCTGACCCCTGTATTCTGGCTGTCCAAGGGGTAAAGATGTCTCAGTAATTTACTGTCTAAAATAAATTATGCCCCTCAAATTGGGAACATTTTCATAGATGTAGACTCGTAATTGTTTGTGACAGCAAAATACAATTTTTCTGTCAGGAAGGGACCTTGCTTTGAAGAATCAAGTAATATGTTGTGTTAAGGGTCCTAAATAAGCCAAACAGAATTGAACAGTCATCCTTGAGTTATAGGCACATTGGATAAAAATTCATGGAAGGTCACAGAGAACATTTTTCATTAGTATTATGAAATCCAAGGCTTGGTGCAGTAAACCTATAATTTTTGAAAAATTTTTAATTGTGTTATTATCTTTTAAGAGCTTTAAAAATATAAATAGATTTAAGAATTTGTATTTCTCCTGCTATCCACACTAGAATTTCAGAACTGTTTTGTGAATTGTTCCTAAACTCATTTTCCTTTAAGCTGAAATATTTTGCAGCATGTGCCTGTGATTGCACATTTAGAGAAGAGAAATTGTCTATATACCATAGCTTTTTATTTTGTCTTTTTATTTTTGTACTTCCATTCAGTCAAATTCTGACTCACGTATATGTAGGATGTTTGTAATTCTGATAAATTCATACAGAAACTTTTCTATCTCCAGATACTCCAAAAACCCTGCTGTAATGAAGTGATCATTTCTCCAAGAAGTAAGAGAGAACGACAAAGGCATTCCATGACCTTCCCTCTCCAAACAGGACAGTTTGGATTTTTTCTCAACTACTGGACTCCTCTCTCTATGAAAGTAGCCGAGAGGCTGTAGTGCTGTGTGATAAAGGCCTGTCAGATGAGATCATCCCCATCAAACATTAGAATCTGGGTATTTTCCTAGAAACCTTGGTCTAAAAAAAATCCTGATGGACCACGGTAACTTGATGGTTTAAGTATCGTTTTTGAAAGAGATGCTAAATAAATTGTGTCCTGTGATAGATCTCGAGGACTTTGGTAAAAACTTTTTTTCCTTGTTCAGTTCACTCAAGGTCAGTTATTTTTGTGGCAAAAGAGCTGGCTCATTACTGACAGTTATATACCAGATCTGAACAACAAACTGAATGCTGAAATCCATTCCAGAAAATTCTGCTGTCCTGCTTAGCCTCACCTTTGATTTTTTTAATATCACATTAGAAAATTACTTAATTCTTATGTTGAGAAGTGTCCCAAGATTATTTTCTCTGTCTGCAGTTTTCCAGTGTTCCAAGTATCACAGCACTGAAAATCTGCAATGAGTCATAATGTATTCCAGATAGTAATTTTATCTAAAAGTATCTGCAAAGAAAAATAGTATAGCATTAGTAAATTAATAGAGATTTATCAATTCTTATATTTTAAAAAAATCTTTAAGTTGAAGCTTAACTTTGGGGAAAAAGATTATTCCTTTCTAAGAATGCATTTCACTCTGTAGTTCCTCTCTTAACATTTGCACCATCCATTAGTTAAATGGTAAAATGCAATGAGAAGTAGTCTTCTATTCAAAAGGCTTCCCAATACAATAAAAGAGAAATTTAGACTTAAATTTTAGATTTTTCCATTATTGGGCACTGATGTTTCTGAGGTATAGATAGTTTTGTTTATCTTGATGTAACAAAAAAATCTTCACATTAAGTGACAGTGACAGAGTTATAAATGCTCTGGATCTTACTTTATGGTATCTTGGTATTAAGACAAAGGGATAAGGTTATAAAACTTTTAGGAACCACACAGTCTTCTTTTTTGGGCCACAGCTGCTGACAGTATTCATATGGTAACCCTGCAGTCCATAAGTACAGGATAGATTTGAGCACTGTAGTTCAATGTTCAAGGATGATCTTGAAGAAAATATCAACAGTGTTCTTCCCACCACACCATCTGCTGACAGCTGATCCACTGCACTTGACTTCCATCAGCATCAGAATATGTAGATCCATGTATCTTAAAGTGAGATTTGCTGCAAGATGTTTTCTAATATTAAAACCTAGAATATGATAAAAATATATTTCTGTGAAAAGGGAAACTATTTATTTTCAGTTCTGCAGACTGTGGTGACTATGTAAACACTGTTGACATAATCCAAGTAACAACACAGTTATTTGTACATTCATTTCCAAGTTCAGAAAAAGCTGCCACATGCCTGCCCTCTTCTTTGTTACCTGGGTTTAGATATCTTGATCAAGTCTTCTTCCAGAAAAACAATAGCTCCCCTGATTTCAGTCAGCATTTCATATAACAGGTATTTACAGGTACTAGCTACCTTCAGTCTTCTTTCAGCTCAGCAAAAAAACACTCATCCCTCTGTAATGTATATCACATATCTCAGTTTTTATTTAAAATCAAATTATTTTTTCACCTAAAATACCGTTTAATTTTTTTGTGATTTAAGGACAAAAGCTTTGATTTTGCTTTCACCATGAGAGCAAATTAAACTGCCAAGAGGTTTTTCATGAAATTCTGAGCAGTTTCAACCCCAAAAGTGTGGATGTTGGCAACATGAACAATGATGGAAATTTTCTTTGAAAGTGGCCTGTTCGTAAGTTAATTTGGCTGCAAGCACTTCTTTCCTATATATTGTCAGGTTGCCCAGAATGTACCACTTGAAACAAGAAAGACACCTTCTAATACACCCATTACATACTATTAGAAAAATACCACTTAATTTAAGTAGGACTTCTATTTAGGAAGAACAACAATGACGTTTTCATATGTTTGCTCAGAACTGAATACTCCACGCTGCCATTGGAAATTTGTTGCAACACCTAAAAATGCCTTATAATGCATTTGGGGGCCTTGTGTGCTGCTAGAAGAAAGAAGCCTGACTTTAAAAACGAGGTAGGTCTATAAAACTAAGTTCCTCTTTTGGTCACAATAAAATACATGCAGAGAGTTATTCATATAAAGATATAAATCCAGCTAGTCCTGGATGCAATATAATTTTGATTTGTTATTAATTCAAGGCATACCTCTGATGGGTCTGAAGAATTTCTTATTCCTAACTCAAACCAGGGAGCATATTGAGTGGCCAGTTCCAAGGTAAAGAGGCAGGGACATTTACACTTAGGGGAGATAAGCAAATATTTTTGAAGCGATGAATAGGCCCTGAAAAGCAAAATAATAAAAGGAAGAATGCAGTGGAAATAACAGCATGGTTTCAGGTGAAATTGTAAGGCTGTGGGAGGGAGTGAGGCATGAACATCATTTGCTTGTGTACTGTGATCTGAAATGGAAAAAAGACATTCAGTTCACCTTCTTTCTGCACTGCATCACTTTTCCCAAGAGCTGTCCAAACAAAATATCCCAGTTAACCTCGTTTATTTCCTAGGCCTGATGAAGCATCCATAGCAGGGAGGGAAACAATTTGGCTTTACCTTCTTATCTTTGGTTAGAGTGAAAGACAGTTTCTTTCTCATGGTATTTGTTACATGCTATTGAGGCAACAGAACTGAAATCTCTTCTAAAAGGATGAAGTGCACACTTCTGTGTGCATCAAATGCACCAACTTACTTTCTGGTCTGCAGATAATGTACCCTATATATTGCAGTGTGATCCTGGCTGTAAATATACTCAGAGTTGTGAAACCATTGCTGTTTGTGGAACAGGCCATTACTTATCATGGAGCTTTAGGGCATGCAAAGCACTCGGTATTAGCAGGCTGAGTATGGGATGAACGTTTATGATGAAATTCAACATATAAATTGCATTCAACTGTGAATTATCTCCTATCAAAAAGCTGTAGATCATATGACTTAAATTTAGCTTATATGAAAGACATGCAGGTTCAGAAAAGAAGTTGTAATTTATAAAGCATCTGTAAGAAAAGCCTGGAGGGCTTTATCAGTGTATTTTAGACTGAAGATTCATTTCTGTTACCTAAAAACTTTCTTGCATTTTATATAACTTTAGACAAGCTAGACTTAATATTTTTTTTTTTGTCCAGAAGAACCTTTTTTTCCTTTCTGATATTGAAAGATCTTTTGCACAGATTTACCTATCCTGGATATTTAGGTGACATACTGGATACCTGACATTCAAATTCTTTCATTCTTACAGGCCTTAGGTATGCACTGACTGTCTTTGTTCAAGCTAAAAAATTATTAAGAAATTTATTGAGGAAAATACCATTTAAGAATACTTTGATCCACTATTAGTAAAGGTACTTTTGGTGAACTGCTCCATTGGACTTTGAAAATTCCAGTTGTTAAGTGAACTCCAGCTAACCTCATTTCACCTCCGTTAAGAACAAGTCTTCAGAAATATAATAAAAATGTGAATTGCTGTTATCTTGAAGGCAACAATTCAGAAGTCAGGAGATTATATATTTGAAAGAAAAAAATCTCACATCTGACAGAAAGATATTTCCATGCTATTGTTTGAGGGAATAAGAGTGATTTATTCTTACTTTCTCCACTTCACACAGGTGAAGATCACCTCAATGCTGAAGAAGATGAAGAAGTTTTGACTCTTTTGTATGAGCAATGTCTGAACTGCTACTTTGACCCAAATTCTGGGAAATACTACAAATTGACATAGTCAGAACATCTGAGGATATTATTTTGTATTCATAGTATCTTTTATTTCTTGCAAAATTTGACTGAGCCATATAATTTATTATATAACCTAAAAACTTAAATTAAACAATAGTTTTGCAACCAAATTAATACATTTGGCAAACAATGTCTTATTTTTATAGCTTTGTATTAAGTTGTAATGCAGTGAAAGATCACATAGCATGAAAGTTCCTAATTTACTTCCAATATTGACAGCTTCCATATGGAAACAAATGAAGCTGAATCAAGAAGGTTGGTAGTGCTTATGTGTAAATCATGGTTTTAATCAATTCTAAAGAAAAACATTACTTGTTTACTGTCTATTTTTAATTGGTGTGAGATGCTGAGGGTATCAGCTACCATCAGCTTTACTGCTCTAACAACACAGGGCTGAAGAGTGGGGAGGGATTGGTCCAACACTCCAAACCTGGAGTCCTGTTTCAGGTAAGGCAAGGAGGTGTGTCTGTGATTCATGTGGCAAGCTGTGCTCGGAGGGCAGCTCCAACCTGTTTGTATGAGTTTCTCCATTATCCTTGCAATAAAATAATGCAATTCATTCAACACATCTCTATTGGGTTTCAGTGCAGCGTTCAGTGAGGGTCCTAAGTTCCAACTTGGAGTTTTAAATTGCCTGCATCACTGTGCATTTTGCTTTTAGGGTACATAAAGTAACTCTACTGATCACAGAGAAAGAATACAGATAAAAAGTAGAGCATATGTAGCACTTGAAAATGAAATCACTATATAAAATTAATCAAATACTGTGCATGTATTTTATTTGTTTTATTTATTCATGGATTTCTTACTGTGCATGGATACTGTGTACTGTACTTTGATCTCAAATCCAGTTAACCTGACCCTGATGTCTCTGGCTGCTGCTGGGCTCCGAGCTGTGCCCGACATTCCCAGCCCCAGAGCAAGTGCAGTGCTGCTTGCCAAGAGCATCCCCCAACCAACAGGACACTTGTCTAGAGGGTAAATAAATCATTAAAACATCAGCTGCCAGGCTTAGGAGTTGCCCATGACCCAAGAAGTCCAAGGAGTTTTGTTTTAATGGAGTTGAGTCAGTGGAACAGCTTTGGAGTCCACCAGTTCAGTACATAACACTTTCCTGGAGACAGCTGAAGGGAATGTGAAAGTCACATGGCAAAGTGATCTATAGGCATTTCTGGTGATTCTTGTTCTAAGTTTCTACTTGATTATATCCAGTGCTATCCCACTGTAATTATTTTCAAGCTGACTACTCAGTGAATTTTTAAGAATAATGTATTTGAATGTCATAAAGCGAGCTTAGTAAGCTCACTGCAAGTGATTTAAAATTATATGCCTGTAAATTATATGTAATTGTAGATCCCAGTTAATGAATATCCTAGAATCAATTGAAAATGCAGTTGTTAATAGTGGCTTGGCATAAGATCAGATTGTGTATTTGGCTCTGTGGCAGGTACAAACATATCATCACAAATTGATTCAAGGAAGAGTAGCACTGAAATCCACAGGAAGACAGATACTGCACTGAGATAATTTACTTACCCCACCTTATCCAAAAAGATTTGTACCTGCTCTTACTAATGCCATAATCAGTTTAAAAGTTCAATGAAATCATAATTTTGACTTTCAAAACTGAGATGCTGACATGCCTGTGCATATCTGGCCATTTTAGCATCATTTAGTTATGAGGACCAC